TGACAATAATATATATATATATATATATATATATATATATATAATCGCACTCAGGTGCGAATGCTTCGCCCAGGCGCGAAATAGGAATGGATTTTGTCCGTCCACGTGTCCAGATCTAATGGATGAGAAACACTAATTTTTATTAAAAAAAATGCGGTGACATTTTCGTAAATAATTGAACATCGAAGTGCAACTAAAATGTATTACAAGTGCATGTAAAATGTATTATAGGTGCAAGTAAAAATTTACACTGAGCATCAATACAAAGTGCACCTATAGTTATAAGTAGTTGCACACATAGTTATAAGTAGTTGCACCTAGGTGCATGAATGTTTGCGGGTGGTTTTCAGGGGTATTACTACCCGCTGAACTCAGATCAATGATTGTTAAGAAGGCAAAATTACATGCACTTATAGGTGAAAGTATGTGCACCTATAGTTATAAGTAGTTGCACATATAATTATAAATAGTTGCACCTATAGTTATAAGCACACCCAGGTGCATGAATGTTTGCGAGAAGTGAATGCTAACAAGGCAAAATTACATGCACTTATAGGTGAAAGTTGGTGCACTTGTAAGTGATTTTACTTGCACTCCGATGTTCAATTATTTACGAAAATGTCATCGCGTTTTTTTTTAAGTTATTAGATCTAGACACGTGTCTCGCGCTGATTCGTTCGCATATTCCTTCCTGGATACTTATTCGCACCTGAGTGCATCCGTATGTATATATATATATATATATATATATATATATATATAGAAAAAAAATTATAAATTATAATTATAATATTAATTATAATTATAATTATAATTATAATAATAACAATAGTAATAACCGGTTTTAGCCGGAATCCATTTGAAGTGTCGTTTCAATTCACCCAAGTAAACTGGTCCAGGCGACGTGGCCTGCATGTCTACTGCATAAAAGCACACCATGAACCGAAGGCAGCAAACAATTCCGGACTAGCAAGCTATCTGGTAGAGGACAAGAGATTAAACTCAAAAATCGTCGACGCGCGGTCAAAAAATAGATAGAAGTTGAAAACCAACGCCAAGAGAACACAACGTAATAAGGACGGAAAACACGGCAGCATTAATTCAAATGTATATACCGTAGACAATGTATATCAGCAACACGATTGTTTGATGAGGACAAAATGCGCACCCAGGTGCAACTCAGACCAAATGACCAAGAGCGAAAAAAACAACCCAAATAGAGACATTGCTCGAAATAGAAGTCAAGCCCAGCAACATGATCCGAAAATTCCAGGCCGTAATAAAACAACCACAATTAAATTTTAAAACAAAGAGAAAGAGGAAAAATGGTCGATAAAACATACACTCAACACAGAAACTCTTTGCGAAACGACCACCTGGGATAGAGAAAGCGCCCAACAGGCAACACATAAACAAAGAACATATTTCTGGTGAGGAGTGGCATTACAACGAAGAGAAGATGTATTTTAGCGAACACATAAACAAACAACACATTTCTAGGAGGATTTTGGACAAACCGTACAAAACCCGCAAACGACATGCGACGCTCTTAAAGCGAAAGGAATGGACTCCTACATCTCTCCTAGGGATAAATGACGAAGGCAGCGCACATCATGCGCAATGGTAGTACAGTGTGCGACGTGCGCGCCCGGTAAAAGTGGAAAAAAGAGGTGCAAAGTCAAAAGAATAGTCATACATGTTAGAACATTAATTGTTCCCTTCGGCGAAGAGATGGCTAAGAACAACAGTAGTTCACTGTTACCCCACCAACATGGAGGCAAAACTGCAGCATTCACAAGGGCATAATAGAGAATTCAAACCGAACAATCGAAGGGCATACCAGGCAATAGAAGTACAAGTACAGAGAATGACAAAACGTGGCTGACGAAAGCGGATGTCATTTACGGGCCAGTGTCGGCCTGAAAACGAACCAAATGTGCCGACCCTATTAACCGCCAATGCATCGGTAAGGGTAAATGAGTCAAAGCAAACAAATCGGTAAGGGCAAACCCGTGATAGATTTTACCAAGTACCACACGAAAAGCACGAAGTACAAGGAAAACCGCCTGAAAATGTCATGGGCAAACAAACATGGTAATAGGTATTAAAACGAGCAGCAGTGGCAACACAATACAAACTTAGTAAGAAACGTATCCTCATTCTCATCTCCAACATGTCAACCACCTGAAATTTAAGAAACAAGCTATAAGAAAACTTCTTTACTGAGAGATGACAACAAATACACTCCCTCATAAGAGACTACAAACTTAAATCTAATGCACTATGCTTGTAATCATTATGCAAACAGTTGTCAACTCAATATTTTATGCAGTTGTCCAGTTGCATATTTTTTTGCTTCAATTTTTGAAATCCATCAAATTCCAAGTGACAAAATAAAAGCCTGCCATAAAAAAAGAGAGGAATTTGCAGATGTAATTGAAATATCATGCCTGAGCAGTCCTAGCTTGGATGATGGCATATTTTGTCTGAGTTCTAAATTGTCCCCAAATCGATTTGCAATGGTCAGGTGTTATCAACGTTTTTGATGCAGGAACCTGTAAGGGTTAGAATAAATAAAAAAAAAATCAGGGGCTATAATTGGGAGAGAGCCAGGAGCATAAGAAAAGCAAGTGAATTTTTTGAAAATGCATAACTTCATTCAATCAAGATGCAAATGGTGATAGGCCTTAACAATGAATAAGAGAATATCAAATATTTAACAGCAACAACATTTCAAATTGTAAAATCATAAGCAACTCTAGGAACATTGTGGGGTTAGAATGAAATAAAGTCAGGAGCCATAACTGGGAGAGGGGAAGAAGAGTGGAGCACAGGAGAAGCAAGTGAAATTTTGACAAAGCACAAAATGCATAGGAAAACATTGATGTTCAATTGTTAACAACGACAACATTCCAACATGTAAAATATAAAAGGGGACACTTTCTTCTCCTTTCTTTTCTAACTACAAATTAACTGACCGTTTCATCAATGTGTCAAGGCAAATAATTACCTCATTCCAAGAGCTTGATGCTAAAGGATCAGATGATGTGGTGCTTTTGTTGGCAGCACCACCTGATTTACTTTCGATTAAAGCAAGGGCAAGGGTGTTTTCAATATTGTCAGTTTCTTCCTCCAAGCGAATAGCAGCCAAAACTGAGAGTAATTTGAGAGACTGGGGAAAACATTAAAAAAGTCAGATTTAAGTGCAATACTGAAATGGGAGATTAGACATCACAATCTTCTCAATTAATCATTCATGAACACACAAGGTAAAGAAGACAAACTCCAAACTGGAGGACACAAATTCTTTACTAGCAAAAGGGAAGTATCTTGACTAACAAAGGGAAGTATGCTCCAATCATCGAGCATAAAAAAGGAGAGGCAACACCAAAACGAAAGGGGAGAGAGGACTAAAACAAAATAAATAGCATCAAAACGAGATAAGACCAAACCAAGACAACACTAAAACACAAAACGAGATAGCACTAAAACACGAAACGAGACAACACTAAAACACAAAACGGACTCCATCCTTCTAGAGGTCAAGGGAGACCCCCAGACGCAATCCCATCACTAATAACCCTCTACGTCACAAGATTCCAAGGCAGTAGCAACAACACAACTATACTCAGCCATACCCACAAAAATTAAGCCTAAACAGATCAGAAAACACACAAAAAAGGGAGCCTGAAGGGGGACAAAACAACTTGACCGTAGAACAAAAATCACGGAAGCCAAATGGTCCAAACTAAGTCCAGATCCGAGGAGAGGGGACTCAGGCGATGGAAAAATTTTCCGGTGGCCGGAAAACCCTCACGGCCGGCGCGTGGTGGAGGATTGTGGCGATGAGTGAGGCTCACACGTCGCCTTGAATAGTGCCGAAATTTGCAGTAAAGGTGGACATTACTCTTGTTTTAATGTCCATTGAAGACGTTGCTAACAAACATTGTTACGAAAGAGAAAGAGAGGATTTCTAATGTGCTGTTATATATTGTCTCAAACTGTCATAGATTAGAGAATACAAAATCATATAAATAGGTATTAGAAGACTACGAATAGGAAACAAGTTTCCATATACCTTACCTTCCTAAATTGCTTAATTTATAGGGATTCTATATATCAAATATGTATTCTATAACAAACATCAATCACTATACACCCATTACACCCTCTATTGGGAAGTAGGGAAGTGGAAAGTAGGTACTATACATTATTTTATTTTGCTACTTACCACATATGAACAGAGGAAGTACAATGCTTTTATCAGAAGTATCTCTATAAAGGAGTGAACTCTCTTCTGTTTATGATTGAATTTTATAAACTTGTGCTATATGAAGTAAATGGGATTTGATAAAGGATTTTTTTTTTCAAACATGCCAGTCATTTAGTAAGAGACTTTTCATTAGGGATAGTTATGCTGTGCATCCGTATGCACCATGCATGGTGCATACGGATGCCAAAACGACGTCGTTTTATTAAAAAACGCGCGTCTCCTCTTTGAAAAAAATCAGGTTCGATTCTCAGCAACAACATTATATTGTTTATTCATTCTGAAATTTTAGTTCATAGATTATGGAATTATAGTTCATTGATTATGGAATTATAGTTCATCGATTCTAGAACTGTAGTTCATCGATTATGAAATTTTAGTTCATAGATTATGGAATTTTAGTTCATTCATTCTGAAATTTTTAGTTCATAGATTAGATTCTGGAATTATAGTTCATCAATTATGGAATTACAGTTCATCGATTGTGGAATTATAGTTCATCAATTATGGAATTTTAGTTCATATGTTGTTGCTGGGAATCGAACCTGATTTTTTTTTTAAAGGGGAGACGCGCGTTTTATTAAAACAACGTCGTTTTTGCATCCGTATGCACCATGCATGGTGCATACGGATGCACAACATAATTTGCCTTTCCTTAGGTCTTCTGTTCTCTGTCCCAAGGGGAATACGGAAGTGCCCTGAACTTCTCTGACTATTCATATAAATTTTCTTTGCACTTGGGTGGTTATTGTATCTTTAGAATTCAAGGGTCATAGTTTATTGGTAGTACTAATTTAAAGTTAATATGGAGTTTGAAGATTTTGTTCTGGTTCATCTAAAATAAGCACAAATAATTCTTTTTGCAGATGCTGTCATTGACCAAGCTAATTGGGACTTGTCTAAAACAAGATATAAGCTCACACGTGATATACATGGACATATTGCTGTAGTCCGTGCATCCAAGCTGGCTGAACTTACAACACTTTATGAGGTATGATCAGAAGCAGACTTTTAGACCAAGTAGTACCAATGGGACAATATGACTAATCATAAATTTGTATTCTGTGCTATAAGATCCAGTGATCGTTGCCTTTGAACATCTTTTGGATATATGAACATATTTCATGATTTAAATTAAAGCCACAAAGAAAGTTGTTTCTTTATTTATTATTCTTTTTTTGGGGGGTTTGGGAGGGGGGTGCGGAATATTGGACTCTCAATATAATTAATTAACATTTGTGGGAGTTTTTGTGCAGACAAAGTTGAATGACGAATTATTTGGACCAGTTGGGTCTGTATTAGCTGGAGTTAGTGATGATCCATGGACACAAATAAGACAACTCCTACTGGATGAGATAGAAGCTGCAGTATCATCTTTTTCTGCAGCACTTTCTGGCTTTGAGATGGATAAAGAAACCAAAGATAATATGCTATCAAAGTTGAAGGATTATGCAAGAGGGGTAGTTGAAACAAAAGCAAAAGAAGAAGCTGGAAGGGTTTTGATCCATATGAAAGATAGGTACTTAATGACTTAATGTTTTGGTTGTAGCAACTTCAAGCCTTATATTTTCTAAAAATATTAAATGTATGAGCATATTGAGAAGTGCTCCAGAATTGTTGGCAGGTTTATAACATCATTTAGGTATGATTCCGATTCAAAGACCCGACTTTGGATATGGAACGAAGACATCGATGCAATTACCAAAACTGCAGACTCATCTGTATGGCTATCTCATTTTTACTCAAAACTAGGCTTCACAGAGCCAAATCTAAAGAGGAATCCATGGGGTTATACCTCTTGTAGTCTAGCCTTCTTGCTTGAATCTCTTCTTCCTCTTGACCTAGCTTGAGCCTCCTTCACCACCTACACTTCCCAAACACACCTTCTATCCTTAGCCTAGAACCTCAAAGACTAAAGAAACTATAAGAGAAAAGAGGCTAGAATGAAGGATGAACAAGCTTACTAGGTTGTTGTCTCTCTTCTTGTTCTTGGCAGACAAAGATATGAGGAAGAGGCAAAGAATGCGATCAGGAAAATGAGATGGAATAAGAGGGTTTATATAGGGTTCAAAACCCTATGATGATTCACAATAATTGGTTGAGGGCAAAGGGGTAATTTCCCAAGCTAAAAGATGATTCTATAAGGGATTTTGGATGTCTTGTGGTCCACCGTGTAACATGAACAATGGGCTAGAAATGTTATCTTTTATTACTTTGGGGTTGAAAGTGAATTTTCCCAAAAGCTACATGAATGAACACTTCTTCAAAATTCCCTTTTGAATTCTCCCGGTCTCACTCAGATAAAATTCTCGATTTAAATCTTGGTACACGAAGTACCCGAAAACATTGGAATTTTTGAATGGGATTCATTTCTTCGGTGTCGAATAAATTTTAAAATGCGACAAAAATTATTTTATTCATACACCGATTGATCGCAAAAATTTTTAATGGAGTGAAAAAGCTACTTTGGAATTTCTTAATACTGGATTTATAAAATGAAATTTTGGGTTGTTACATACAGGCTTATGCCTACCCTTGTAAGGCTTTTTGGTCTAGCGACCGTGCTGGGACGGACCCGGACTTGTGCATACCCTCGTAGGGCTTCTTGGTCTACCGACCATGTTGAGACAGACACGGGCTTATATCGGTGATGGCAAGACCATGATCACTTCTTAAACGCATGATTTTTCCTATTTTTCTTTCTTTTTCAGTTTCAATCTTATTGACAAGGATTTTGAAGCTTTTGAAGGTATATGATTTTTCTCTTAGGAACATGACCCATGTGAAACGAGAGTAATCATCTACTGTTACATGAACATACCTTTTTCCTCATATGCTTTCAACTTGAGTTGGACCAAAAAGATCCATGTGCAGGAGTTCCATAATTCTTGTGGTGTGGATTCCTGATGTTTTCTTATGGGTTTTCCTTGTTAGTTTGTTCTCAAGACACGTTTCACAAGTTTTGTTCTCGTTAATTTCGAGTTGTCGTGGTAATCCTCGATAAGTTCCAAGTTTCATTCCTTTCTTCATGTCATGAAAGTTTATGTGTCTCATTCGTTGGTGCCAAATTTGTGCTTCAATTTCTTTTGAGAGATTACATGTGAATTGATTTGTCCAGACGTAGCATTTGTCTGATGATCTATTGCCTTGCATTACACAGTGTTCATTTTGATCATAGACTTGGCAACTGTTTTTGGAGAATTTCACTTGTAGATTGTCATCACACAGTTGACTAATGCTGATTAGATTTGCTTTGAGTCCTTTTACCAAGAAGACTTGCGTAAGCCTCGGTAATCCGGTCACATTTAGTGTTCCACTTCCAATGATTTGGCCTTTTCCTCCATCTCCAAATGTAACATGTCCTCCTTGTTTTGGTAGTATGTTAACTAGATGTTCTGGTTTCCCAGTCATGTGGCGTGAACATCCACTATCGAAGTACCATATTTCTGTGTTCTTTTCTGTTTTGGAGGTGAGAGCAACTGTTTGGGTTTGATCCTTTTTGACCCATACCTTTCTGATTTGTGATTGTTTCCTCATAAGACGATTTTGTCTAATCCACCAGTGTGCTTTAATATGACCTGGTTTGTGGCAGTAATAGCATCTGACCCTTCGATGTTGGAAACGTTGTTGCAACATCTCTGGATTTTCTGATTGTCTTTCATTAGCATATTCAATCCTTTGTGAGTTTTCCTTCAGAATTTCTCCTTCAAGATCTTTTTCCTTTTCTTGGAGTTTCTTTAGTTCATCTTTTGTTTTCTGATGATCTCGAATTTCTCTTTCCTTTTCAATTTGTAGATCACGGTTCTGTTGCATGAGTTATGTATTGACTCTAATAAGCTCCTGCCATTTTGATTGTAGTAATGTGTATGCCACGAATAATCCTTGAATGTCTTCTTGGGAAGTGTCTTCCTCTTCTTGTCTAATGGTGAATGCAATGAAATTTGTATTTTCATTCTCACTGTCGGAGTCATCACTGAGTGTGGTAACATAGTTTTTATTTTTCCTTTTCAGATAGGTTGCACATTCTGATTGGATGTGTCCGTATCCCTTGCATTCGTAGCACTGTATTCCATCGGTGTTTTGGGAGGATTTTCCCTTTTTCTGATTTTCATATGAGCGGGGTTGTGAGTTTGAGTTGTTTCCATTGTTGTTTGGGAAACTCTTGTTTTTACTTCTGAACTTATTGAATTTTTTAACCACTTTATTAAAATTCTTGGTGAGTAAGGCAATGGTTTCTTCCATGGTTTGTGTGTCGTCATCTGAATTAGTAGTTTGAGTAGTTTGTAATGCGATTCCTTTGTTTGACACATTAGGTTTTCTTTGAAGCATCTCAAGTTCGTATGTTTGCAGGTTTCCCATCAGATCACTGAGCTTGTATGTGTCCAGATTGGTACTTTCTTGTATGACAGTGACTTTCATGAGGAATCTCTCTGGTAGGGATCTGAGTACCTTTTTGACCAATTTTGGTTTGGGAAAAGGTTCTCCTAGATTGTATGCTGCTCTAGCTATGTCAAGAATCTTTGCATTGAACTGTGTGATATTTTCGTTTTCTTCCATTTTCAAAGTTTCGAATTGAGTCTGTATCATATGTAGTTTTGATTGTTTGACAATGGTGTTGCCTTCATGATGATTGCACAGGATTGTCCAGGCTTCTTTGGCTATTTCAGTGTTTGATATCAGCTTAAATGCCTCTTCACTAACTGCTCCATAGATGGAGTTCATGGCTTTAGAGTTGTAGTCAGCTTCTTTGATTTCTTCTTTAGACCATTTTCTTTTAAGATTCTTTTCTCCTTGTTCATCAGTAGGTGGCACCCACCCTTCTTCTACTGACCTCCATACTCTCTCACCTTGGGACATGATATAAACTCTCATTCTTGCCTTCCAATAGGAGTAGTTTGCACTGTTTAATGCTGGGGGTCTGCTGCTTGACAAACCTTCTCTGGGAAAATCCATTGTGTTGTTCCTTTGGGTGTTGTAGGATCCTGCTAGTAGTTTTAGCAACCCGCTCTGATACCAATTGAAAAATTAAGGAGCAACACGCACAGTAGTGTTGAAACGTAAGTTTGTAACACCAGGAAATTGTAACGCAGTTTAGGCGAAATACCCTAATCTGCGAGGCACTTCTCGTATTGAGAATTAGCCTAAATTCACTATGAGCAACTTCAAAAATACAGAGTATAGGAAGATGAAAGCTTTACACAATAGATCTCACAATCTCTCATAATCTATTGAAACCTAACTCTTGTATTACTCCTAAGTGATAGACTCTCTCTCTCTCTCTCAATATATCTATATGCACTCGATCAGATTCCACCGGTAAGATCGCTGCTTCTATTCATCTAAGAGTCTTCTTAAATAGGTGATATTTGATCATAATCCTAGTTGAAGTATGAATCCAAGTTAGACTAGGATTTGAATGATACTTGTAGTTTGACTGGGAGACAATTGAATCTGTATTTTCAATTATCCTTTTTGCCAATAATATTTTTGACAATTTATTTATTCAATAGATGTGATTATGTATATTTGTTCACACAATTATGTATATTTGTTCATACAATTATGTATATTTGTTCATACAGTTATGTACATTTTTATACAATTATGTACATTCTTTTTATACAATTATGTACATCCGAATCAGAAAATTTGTGTGTATTATGTTAAGAGTTTATGTGTATTATGTTAAAAATTTATGTTTATTATGTATTATGTTAGATCATGTGTATTATCGTTTAAAAAGAGTATGTATATTTTGTTATATAATTATGTACATTCATGTATACAATTATGTGTATTCTAGTATAACATTATGTACATTTTTGAACAAGATTTTTTTTTTAAAGAAAAAATAACTATCAATTCACTGGGATGAGAAATTTCAAAAAAAAAAAAAAAATTAAACAACTCGTTTTGCATCTGGGCGCACAGTGCAACGCGCGCCATGGTGTAGGATATAAATTGCCATCAGCCACCATCCACCAATGAAAGAGAAGCTTTGGCACCAAGCTTCTTCTTTTTCATTTTCAAGAGAGGGCTCAGCAAAGAGCTACCGTCACTGCAGCTTCGTCGCAAAGCTCTTCCAGTCTTCATCCCGCAGGGCCGTGACGACTCCTCCGTGCATGGATGGTGGAACAGGATAATACTAAGAAGCTTCTTTGTAGATAACTCTAGTGAAAAGAGGTTCTAAGAGCCCGGGGACGAAGGAGAAGATACGTCTCACGCTGGCGATGGCCGGATATTGAACGTCAAGAAATGGTATGTGTTTATGACTTCAGTACAGGTTTTTCAGTGGACGAAAACACAGAGAGGATTAGAGTTCTATAAC